GATGTCCTTTGCGGCCGCGGCGTCGAAGCGCCAGTGCACACCGAGGAAGATGCGCGAGATGGCGTTTTCAAACATCATCTCCCAGCACGAGGAGAACTGGCGGGGCACACGCGTGCGCACGGTACCGGGTTGGTCGGTGATCTCGCGTTCGAGCATGTAGGGTTGGCGGAGATCGCGGCTGATGCCGTTGAGCTCGTCGGATACAAAGTCGATGGCGATGTTGTCCGGCGCGTCGTCCTGCCAGCTTCCGATGCGGCCGTTGTAGTACCTGCGCACCATCTGGAAGGCGGCACCGCCGAATGTGGCGTGGCCAGAGGGGTAAGCGGGGAAGGGCGGCTTGAAGGGAAGGGCATCTGAGTTTGTAGCTGGGGCACCGAGCGTCAGCCAGAATGGGTCGCCACGGTCTACACGTGTGGGGTCACGGAGGATATCGTCGCGGACACCGGACAGCGGGCGCCAGAACTCAAATTCCCACTTCTCCTTCCAGGAGAAGACGCCTGCATCGGCCAAGGCTACGTTGACAAGGGCAAGGAGACGAGCAAAGTCAGCGTTGTTGGCCTCGCTGGTCAGGGACTCGGGGTCCTTCTTGTATCGAACCGCGATCTTGCGGACGATCTGGTTGTACAGTCTGGGTGGGGTGCCAATCAACTTTGAGCCGTCGTAGGCCCACGTCATTCCCTGGACGGTCTGGTGAGGAGTGCGCTTGGTGGTATTGAGGGCAGGTGCTCCGCCCATGGTGTAGACTTCACGAAGAGCATCGTCGTATTCCGCCTGCTCGTCAGACATGGAGCGGATGGCTGGTGGGTCGGCAAGGATGTGCTCGCTCTGAGTGGCGAAGCGCTTGGCCCTCGTGCCATAGAATGGACCGTGGTACTGGCGTCTGGGGACCTTTGGACCATTGGGGTCGTTGGCATCCTGGGGGACGAGGTCAACGGGGTGGGTGGGCTCATCGTCGAACTTGTAAGGACCGACTGTGGGATGGTAGCCTTGCTGACTGGCACCTTCAGGGTGGAAAAGCAGCTCAAAGAACTTCATGGCTACTGCCTTACCGAAGGTGAAGCTGGGAGAAGCCGGATCGACGGGCTCTGGTGCGTTGGTTATCGACTGCTGGATGATGTACTCGAGCTGATCGTAGGTGCTGTTGGCAATGGAAGCGGGAACAGGAGTCACAGCAGGCCTCATGTACAGCATGGACAGCATCGTGAAAGCTGCTCCTGCTACCGCCTGCTGAGCATTGTCTGCGCCAGCTGGATCGGGCAGGCGGTACTTCTCGTCCTCGGCGTCAAGGGATAGGAAAGTCTTGAAGTCGGAAGAAGGCTTGATGACGAAGTAGGTGTCGTGTACAGCCAGCTGGAGCATGCCTAGAGCTCTGGCGGAGATTGGGGGTCCAGTTTGGGGGCCATCGAAGGTGTGTGTAACGCGGTTGAGATCTAAGCCGATATGGTTCCAGTAGAGGATGTAGTTCTTGTTGTCTGTCTCGTCTTCAACTTGCTGTGGAAGTTTAACGGGGATGAAGGTCGCCATGGTGGATATGTTAGTGCGTAAGTATGTGGGAATTGGTGAAGTTGTAGTTGGGATGAACATGACATGAGCCCTGATACTTTATACCCAACGATCCCTGACCCTTTCAGCGCCCGCGAGATCTGTCCATACCTGGGTTATTTTCTTTTTCTCCCAAAATAACCCAGCTGACCATCAGGTGAACACCCTCCACGATAGGAACCTGGCCACATTCAGGCAAACGAGAAGGCAGACTCTGAGCCACGCCGTTACAAACCGATGCGAAGGACCATTGTCGTGGAGTAGAGATACTGCCAAGAGTCAATGAAGTTCTCGCGCCATGCAGCCACTGGCGGGAGGATTACACTTGGCGCGAACTACTTGTGACGAGTGAAGTTGCTTACCGACGCGCTGCGGAGAGGCTGAGTTTGGCTGCTGTGAGCGGTTGGTGGTCAGATCTGACGTACATTTCAGCTGACAAGGGGGTCCGTGGTCCAGCCTCTCAGTCTTTCCGCCAATACATTCATCTTACGAATACCCGTATCGACACAGGTATTGCTAAGCAGTATATATTCCAGAGTGTATGCTGTGACTCTGGTGCCTGTTGACGTACCATTGGGCTATGACATATGCGAGGGAAGCCTCCGGTGGCAGTGTTTTGGACCCGAACTCGATACGAATGCTGTCCAACAGCAATACTGTTCATATGGGAACCTGGCTGACGGAATTTAATGAAACCCAACCCTGGGGATTGCTTGTGATGGTTAGTCGCAACTGGGTTGACTGCTGGCGGTAGGGCTGAGGGAAGGTTGCTTGGCACAGTCAAATACCTCGGACTGATTAACGTGGTCAGCCTGGCTGAAAAGATCGTTCAACGCCGTATGGCTGGAGACAATGTACCAATAGAGGATATCGCAATGCACCTGACAGTATCTAGCACTCATGTCGCGAATCCAGGGGCGGTGTATCTGACCTCTGAACCCATGAACCCGGCCTAACACGAAGGCTTACCTCAGCTTGGTACACACGTGAGTGGGCGCGCGCAACTCCTTGGGAACTTTCGCGCACGGCGGCAGGGTCGTATCGAGGAGGCGTTCGCATAGGCGCATCTCGGTCCGCCACAGATCTTGATCTGGCCACACGAAGGACAGAATTCCCACCTCACCAGATCTCCTGATGTTGAGATACGGTGGAGGGAAAGAGCTGCTCGTTCTGAGAGCGCTAGGTGTGAAAAAATACGACTAGGAAAGTTACTGCAACAAGCACATGTTGTCGATAGAACAAGTAAAGTTAATTCTCATCCTACCTACTAATTTGCAGCGGACAACAGGAATGCCAAGCTTCCATGCTCAGGGCGTATTGCGCATCCCATAGCCATCAGGCGATGGAAGGTGCTTCTTATTTGGCTTCCTTCAATAATGCCTCCATGGTGGCGTCCTTCTGACTGACGCTGCCACTTCGTTCCGCAGGCTTGAGCTTGCCAGACGCTGGGCCCTCGCTATTTTGAGCAGCGTTCTTTAGCCGCTCGGTATCTTCAGGGTTTGTGTCCTGCTTCTTGACGTCCTTCTCCTCGTCGTCGCTGTCGCCAAGACTAAAGGGGTCGTGGTCATCGGGCTCTGGGTTTGGGGCGACTGAGGTGAGAGGCTGCCATTTCTTGCCGCTCGATTTACCCTGGCTGCCCTGGTTGTTCGGCGATGGGTTGCGGTACAGGGCGTCGACTTCGTCAACGGGTCCGCTCTGGGGCGGAGAGACGGGCGTGGGCTTGAAGAGGTCGGGGTTGGCATGCGGGCGACTTGACGATCGCGGGCCAGGGCCTATGGGTTGTTAGCAACTATTGCACGTGCGTGGTGCTTCCATCATACCCTCGTTGTCTCTCAGCTCGAGCTTCGCAAAGTCGTCGCCAATGACGCGGTTGTCAGCGTCGTAGCGGTTGTGGTCTGCCGAGCGTCGCTGTTCAGCTGACTTGCGAATGCCATGCATCTGGTCTGACTGCGATGGGCCGAAGTTCTGCCTCTGCTGTGGTGGTGGTTGCCTTCCCGTGTACTGGACGTTGCCGTATCTGTCGTACTCTTCCATCTCGCCGCTGTCGAGCTTCTTGGTGAAGTTGCTGATCCACTTTGTGACGGTTTGCTTGGTCTCCTCGAAGCCCTGCTCGATGTTCTTGCGGATCTCGGGGAGGTCGTCTGCGTGAGTCTTAGTAGTTACACATATGTTGACGTCGCGTGGTCGTACCATCGAAGAAGCTGTGCTCCCGCTCGGGCTCACCAGGCCGTTGTCGCTGCCCCTGGCCACGCGATCCATAACCGCCCTGGCCCTCTGGACCACCTTGACTTTGGTAGTGCTGAGCCAGTTGTCGCGCATATATCTCATCCTGCTCGAGCTGACTACGGGGTTGTGGGCGTGGCGGTTGGGGCGGAGGAGCCTCCTCGGCCTTGAAGTTGGGATCCGACATGCCTGCGCTGGTTAGCTATACCCCTCACAACCATGAACCAAATAGGCAGCCACGTACTCAGCAGCGCGTTGAAGGCAGGCTCGACCTTGCCTCCACTGGCCACCAAGACCGCCTTGACGACGTTGGGGTCAACATCGGGGAAGGCCTCAATCAGCGTGTTCTGCGCCTGCACCTGGGGGTCGACTGGTCGCGGGGGCTTCTGGGGTGGAATCTCTGTGGCTTCCTCGTTGAAGCGCACGCCGGGCTTGGGCGACTTGGAGGCTGGTGAGGGTGAAGTAGCATTATCTTGGGTCGCAGATGCCGGGCCATCGTTATCATCGTCGAAGTCGAGCTCACGCGCCGTAGTCGGGCTCTCTGGAGGCTGCAGCTATTAGTGGGGGCTCCCATCCTCATTCGTCTCTTTTTCGCTTACCTTTTCCGTGCTAGTTTTCTCAGACATGATGGTTATAGTTCTGTGTATAAGGAGAGTGATGTGCGACTTGTTGGTGATTGTGGAGGGCAGTCGCGGTCGTTGAAGCTCTGGGCTCGTGAATGCCGCGCAGTGGCTCGTGGCTTGGAATGTTCCACTGCCACTGATGACGTTTCGCGCCAAGTGGGGCACCATCAACTCGACCAAGCTATCCCTACAGACCTCCAGCACTCACTCCCATCCCAAGTGTGCATCGAGAAAACATCAACGAAGTCACCATTCTGATCCCTTCTCAGTCATGTTCCATCTTCAATTGTTGCATCTTCCATCCAGCTGCATACTCAAAAACTCGAAGGCCACCTGTCGTAGCTGACATTCGATACCATGTGAACAAGAACTTCTATACTGGTATTCGCAAAGACAGTCGCCGCTCTCGATTGGCTCAGGAAGTAACCACAATGCCTGCATCTCATACATGTAATCGGCCATCGCTGCCGTTCGAGCGTTGCTGCGCCACCGATCAGGCATCCAGCCACTCTCGCCGCGTTCCGTGTCTCGGCACCATAGCTACCTCCTTTGTCTTTAGAAGTCTCTTGAGCTGCTGCTGTCATTCATGTCACATTTGCATTCTGCTTCAACATGTCAGTCAACGCACAGGTGATCCAAGATGATCATGAGTATGTGCCCATGGAGCCGCCCTCACCAACAACTACTGACAATGCGCAGGCTGCACAGCATCACCAAAGCCGCGTATACGCGCCTGCCACGCGAGGTACGCGACATGATCTTATCTCGCATTCTCACGCAAGACTATCGAGAAACAATCTACGTCCAGCAGTTCCGCGAGGAATTCAAGGAATTCAAGGAATTCCACGGCCGCTTTTATGGGGATAACACAATAGCCTGGGTAGAGTACAGCTCACCTAAGCGTTGGGAGCCGCCCTGGATTTCGCACTTTTACCCACCTTTCGCAGCGGAGATGATTGACGTACTCTACGAAAAGTACCCGCACTTCAAGATCACTACGCCGACCAAGCTCCCAGAATTTCTCAGCGCGGACATGTTCGGAGCGGGACGTACTCCACGCGATGCAAAGCTTCCTAATTTAACTATCAAGGGATCATTGGATAAAGGAAGCTCCGACTCTGTCAGCGTCAAAACACTTGCATCCGATTTGAAAGCCCTTTCGGACTGCAACTGGACCCCAAACTTCCGACTCGACATCACCTTCCGCACCGAGCTAGGCATCGAAATCTTCAAAGCCAGAGCCATACCTCGTGTGGCACGGAAAATACACAAGATCTGCAAAATAATGCGTCCGTGGATTTTTGAAGCCGAGAAACGGGGTGCAAAAGTGTACTTTGCGATAGCCACCAGGCGTCCGGGACAAGTCCACAGTTCGAATCGTCCGGGATACACGAGGTATGGAGGCTTAGATGGAGAACGCGACAGGTTTTGTACTGAGAAAGAATGGGTGAAAGAGCTGAAAAGAACTCTTGGTCCAGAGTGCCGATGGTTCCGGCGGGAACGACCTGGATATACAAAAAGAAGAGACATTTTCGAGCAGTCGATGCCGAAGGCTTATGCTGCAACACGCTTGATCCGGGTTGCAGGAACGCTAGTTTTCTGGATTTGCTGGTCTGGCTTAGCGCTTTCGTGCTCGTGTCTAGATAGGCTCTACAGTTTTGCAAAGACACACCTAAAAGTACTATTAACTAAACTATAGTTCTGCTTTGTAGAAAAAGAATAGCCTACATACTTAAATTAAGGTTAGAACAGGCTAGAACAGACGCAGTAGTAGTAGTACCTGTACAGGCAAGAGAGGACTGGAAAGATCGTAAGAGAAGGGGAAGTGTGTTACCAAGAGCTGTGTTACGTTTAGGTGTCATCTTACAACAAAACACTATATCTGCACTATCTTTGGGTATGTTGTAGTGAAATCAGAGCGTCTGGTAACGGATGATCTATCAGATTAATCATTCAGATACCTGCATATCGGTACGACCACGAAAATTGAACTTCTCCAATCGTTCTCGTGTCATCAAAAAGCTCTCAGGAAACCACTCTGGTTTCCCATTCATACTTCCAGCTTCCATCATCTTCACCAACGCCTCCGCAGACTTTAAACACAACACCATACCATGACCATTAAAGCCCGCGGATATCCACAGGCCCTCTTTACCTGGCACCTCACCCACAAACGGCCGTCCGTCAGCCGTCGCGCCCATAATTCCTGTCCACTCCTGTACCACGCGGCGCGATGCCTCTTCTTCAGACTTCTCACCCCAGTTATCTTTACCGAAATATCCAGTCAAGCTCTCGTTGAGGTACTTGGAGATCTCTGGGTTCAAGGTGCTATCGTCAACCGTCCCGTACTCGCTCGGACCAGCCTGAGGAAGACGGCCCAAACCACCACCAATGACAATGTGCTGTCCTCCATCTGGCAAGGGCCGAGGAATCATGTACTCGTAGCCATCGCGGTAGATGAATGAGTATGTTGTTGGTAACGGACTCGGCAGCTTCGTTGAAGTTCCTGGTGCTTGTGCGGTGATTTGCCCACGCATTGGCACGATGGCTCCTTGTAGCTCCTTCATGATGTAGGGTGTGTAGCCGTTAGTTGCGATGATGACGTTTTTGGATGTGATGGTACTTTCTTGGGTACATACATCCCAGCGGTTACCACTGTCGCCTTCCGATTTCGCCGAGGGCCGGATGTCGTGGACTGGCGTGTTCGTGCATAGCTGTAGCCCTTTCTTGACACACTCCGCTAACAACTCGGTCGTAAAACGATATGCGTGGATTCTACCGGCTATGTATTCAAAGGTGCCCGCCAGCTTCTCTTTAGTGTCGATTGTTGGATTGCTGTTTTCCGTCGCAACAGAGAACTTGTCTTGTATGCTCGCGATATCCTCATGGATCTGGTACCATGCAGCATTTCCCACTTCCTTCTCCTTCTCCTCCGCATCAACCCGCAGCATCTGAATCGCCAGTTTGCCCGCTTCAAAGGTAGGCTTATCGTAGATAAGATCGACTGTGTTACACAATTTACTTTCACAGTTCAAACCCAGTTCCTCTGCCATGCGATGCGTCTCAACAATGTTGGCATACTCCAGCCTTGCGATCTTTAACGCCTCTTCTTTGCCAAGCTCTTGCACATGGTGTGTGTAGCTGCGGTAGCTCGCCGCTTTAGTGTGTCCGCCGTTGCGACCTGTGGCGCCTGAGCAGACTTCACGTGCTTCCAACATCACCACGCGCGCGTCTGGCCAGGTGTTGAGGATGTTGTAGGCGGTCATTGTGCCTGAGATACCGGATCCGATGACGACATAATCGTAGGTTTGTGTAGCAGTCGTAGCTTCTGGTTCAGTAAAGTTTGCAAGATGGGACTTCGGATCGTGCCAGTACGAAGGCAGTGGATTGGCGATGGGTGGCGCGACGGGGATGCGCGCTCGTTCATCCATGTCAACCTTGGAACTTTGGCTTGGTGGTGGCTTCTTCTTGATCTGAATGGATTTGCAAAGAATCGTCTTACATCAAAGATCATGAATAGTTACAGCGCTGAATAAGAGACTGGACTCCGAAGATAGAGATGGAGAGGAGGTGATATGGTGGGAGTGGGGCGCGCATCGGCTGTACCTGCTACTTTGGGAGCGTCACTTGCCAGCGCGATACGTGGGCAGCGACGAGCTGTTGCTTCCACAAACGTCCATTGCTAGGTTACGAATTTCGCGACGTCTGATAAGGTACCCTTCATCTCCCGGCACATAATAGCATTGGAAAGCAAGGAGACGACTCATCCGAGGGTGGATTCGCTTTTGCTACTCCAACGCTTATTGGCTGATCCTTCGGGCCAATGATGTCCGGCAGCAAAGTCGTAAAGATGGATGTCTCGAGACAGTAATGGCTTGACACGTCCAACTCCAATGCAAAGATTATCGCAAGTTTCTCTGCACATCTCACCAACTCCTCGTGACGGTGCTACTGCGACGAAGTCGAGCTCTACCCCGCCTAACGCCGATCGCGGTGACCCCTCAGTTGCACGAATCAACACCAACATGGCGAAGACAAAGGTCGTTGTAACGCGACAATTAATCGACGAGGCGCAAAGACTTCTGGATGCGAAAAAGAAAGACTTGGAAATTGTGCAATGGCAGTCCGAAAAGGTGAGTGTCCATCACTGGCGATAAAGACGCGTTGCTGACGATATGCATGCAGCCATGTCCGCGCCCATGGCTTCTCGAGAACGCCAAAGGTGCAACTGGAATCCTAGTCATGCTCACAGACAAAGTCGATGAAGAACTTTTAGAAGCAGCCGGATCGCAACTAAAAGCCATCGCTTCATTCTCCGTCGGAACCGACCACGTTGACCGAAATGCGCTGAAGAAACGCAACATACGCCTCGGCTACACACCAACATGTCTCACCGACGCCGTAGCAGACCTCACGATTATGCTTATTCTCATGGCCCAAAGAAGAGGTGGAGAGTCGATGACGAAAGTCGCGAAAGGCGAATGGCCTCAGATGCCATGGCATCCACTGCTCATGACTGGCCCTCAGATCCGAGGATCTACTATCGGCTTCTTGGGATTCGGAAGGATTGCGCAGGCTTCGTTGCAGAGATTACTGCCGTTCGGGATCAAGAAAGTCATCTATCTTACATCTCAGCCTGGCAAGCCTGTCAAAGAGGATCACTTTGGTCTTATCAAGAACGCTACCATCCCCATCGAACCAGCGAACAGCATCGACCAACTCGCACAAGAGAGCGATTTAGTCGTTGTCGGATGTGCCCTCACACCCGAAACAAAACATCTCGTAAGCACAGACTTCTTCTCCAAGATGAAGAAGCTCGCCGTCATTGTCAACATCGCGCGAGGCCCCATCATCGACACTGATGCACTGGTGACGGCGCTGGATCAAGAGCAGATATTTGGTGCTGGCTTGGACGTGATAGAGAACGAGCCCAACATCACAGCTGATCACCCGATTCTGAAACAGCCGAGAGCTGTCCTTGTACCGCATATTGGAAGTGCTACGATTGAGACACGGGTACAGATGGCTACGGAGAGTGTCAAGAATCTGCTCGCGGGGTTGTCAGGGGAGGAAATGGTAAACGAACTGCAGCTGTAGAGACATGTGACTAATGTAGAATTGCTTTACGTCCAGCCTATCCCTGGCCATACTGCGTGAAACTCCATCGATGCATACGCTATGTCGTATCGCGACAGCTCCACTTCAATTCTAGCAACGCCCCATTTCCCCCAAGTGTGTTCTCCATCCAGCTTCATGCGTCAACCTCGTTCCACTCCGTCGTCTACAACCGGAATAGCAAAGCGGCCACAAATCTTTCAAGAAAGTTCCGTCCATCGTATCTCTGCAGCCCGGCGTAGGCGAGTGCGAAGACCAGCCAGATCTCCAGCAGGGCTACGAACACCCAAAGAACAATGGTCACAGGATCCATCTTGGCACGGGGAATATGCGCGGTGTTGGTGAAGTGAACTGCCGAGGTATGGGTGTGACTGCCGATGTCGAGGTATTGAAAGGCTGATCGAGGGTTGCGAGTGGGATGTTGATAACCCGTGGATTTTGTGAGGTGGTTTTGATGTATTCCAAGGTTGACTGTAATTGAAGATCTGTACCTACAGCTGGGTTGATGTGGCGAGGGGAAGAACTTGCAATGCGCAACGCGGCTGCTTATGGCAAATGCTTTCCCGAGAGTTGTTTGGATATTGTGGCCGTGCTACAGAGTACTTGCAGTGAGAGAGAATTTGCTAGGCGATTCCCATGACAGTGAATGTGCGCCGCTACTTCCATGGGCCCTTCACTGTCTCCATTTTCTCTCGATCCGACTAATTTAGACAGATAGACAGCAATAGGCTGCCAGCGATCCTGCAAGTGGTATCGAGAGTTGAGAGAACGTGTCGTTCGTCATGTCCACCATACCATCTGGGGACCTCGGGAAAGCGTTCAGTAGGGTAATAAAGTAAGGCTGGAAGCGATACTAGTCGCGATCGTTGATAAGGTCGACCTTGTGCGGTCTCGATCAACCATCGTCTTGCGAACTCAGAGCACAGGAGCAGTTACACGTACTCATTTGCGTTTAAATCGCCAGCATCGCGGGCGGCTCAGCGGAACGCCTTGACATCCGCCTTCTTTGGAACTTTCCATCTTTAATGACACTGATACATCGCGTGGAGTTTATAGTAACAGGCAATGCATTCGATATATTGGACGCAGATTTCTAACGAAATGCCGGCGGTCGTAGTTGCGTAGGTCTGAAGGAACTCACCCCTGCACTAGCCAGTTTAGGTTTGGACGATGTCGCCCGCACCCGCGGGCGTGGACGCGTCCCAGCCACCCCGCCGACGCGCCCGCGCGATGTCTTCTCGCCCGTCACTCCTCCTCACATTCGCGCCCATATGTATCAAAACAGCTTGAACCC